TGCTCATCGGCATCGGCGGCGCAAGCGGGGTCGTGGCGGTGCGCGTGGTCGTGTGTTCGCCGGGCCGCGAGGCGCCGCCGCTGTTCCCGCTGGCCCTGGTGACTTCGACCGCGGGGCGTTTGCCGGTCGCGGGTTTGACGTTGAGGCGAAGATGTGGCCGATGGGCACGAGCCGCCAGGAAATGTCGGTGATGGAGTTCGGCGACGTGGGTTGGCAGACGAGCGAGGCCGCAAAGGTGGACAATGACAACGTAAACTTCTGCATCAAGGATAAGAGGCACCACTTCATCGAGTGGCAGGGCTCGGTCGAACCAGAGCAGCAAACGATCCAGGTGAAGGTGGTGCCGCGTTGCGCGGGCAACCTTGTCCGCGAGACGGAGCTGTTGAGCAGCAGCTGCGTGCTGTGCGACAGTTGGGCCAAGTTCGGCTGGAGGTGGGCGGGGGGCCACTCCGGGCTCGGGCGGGGGTTCTGCTCGCCTGCCGAATCGGGCTCAGGGCCGGGCGCGGCTACCTTGCAGAAGGTCCGCAAGACGGACGTGGCGGCATGCGACGTGGCCGAGAAGACGATCTACGATGAGTGGTCTTCGGGCACGTCTCGACTGCTCGCCGAGCCGCTGCGAGGATGCGCGACCTGTTGCGGCGCTGGCAATCCCGAGTCCGCAGTCTTTCGTCGTCAACGTCGCCTCGGGCACCCTCGAGCGCCAGCCAGGCGCCGGCGACGGCCATCGCGCGAGGCAGACTGGAACGTGCCGAACGTCGCAGAGGAGAAACTGAACCGCTCGGAGGTGGTCCAGTCGAACATTTCAGAATTTAGCAAAAAGAGCGGCTCAGAGGTGAACGGGCAGAACGTCCCCGATAAACGCGAACGAAACAGCTCAGAGGTCGACCTGTTGAACATGCCAGTGGCGGGCCACCGAAGCATCCTGAACCATATCAGCAACATTTGGCTCGACTAGGAGCTGATCAGCAAGCGAGCCATTGCGCCCGAGGAACACAAAACGTTGGCGGGTGAGCTCAGGGATCTCGCGGGGCCTTCATTGCGTTGCTCGGATCAAGCATTTGAACGCGAGGCGGCGGCGATTGCGAGCTCGTGTTCCATATCCCCTGCGCGTGTTGGCGCTGAATGGCGAGGGCCCGCAGGGCCAGCCTCGAGCCGCGGGGTCGACAATCGGTGCGCGGCGATCTCAGCTGGGCGCGGCTTCCCCCGTGCCTTGCGGGTCGCGAGCCGGGCGTCGGTGGTGGGGCACCAGGGCCAGATGCAGGAGGAGTACGTGGACAAGATCGAGCAGCAGCTCCCTTCGCGTCTGGTGGCCATGGCAGATGACCTGCGAGAGCGGCAGCTGGGCGAGGAGGGCAAGCCGACAGGTGCGAGACTCCCTTGCCCAGGCTGGCGGGATGGGCAAGCCCTCGGCTCCCTGTCAGGGCAAGGTGGCCAAACCGCTGTGGGCAGAGGGCTGCGACGACCCGACGGACAAGCTACAGCTCCTGGGCGCGGGAAGGGTCCGCGGTGGGTGCGCGAGATGCGCGGCTCCCGGTGGGGGCGGGCGGCGGGCGAGCTCGCGCAGGCGCGAGCGGCGGCGTCGGACGTGCTGGCCTCGGCGAGGTGTTGGCGCGAGCAGCCGAACGTTCTGGTGCTGGACCGGGACGATAGCCAGGCTGCTTGTGGGCGCGCGAATTTCGGCAGTCTGACTACGTCGCGCCAGCGAGCGCGGCCGATGAGCCCCTGGGGGGGGCGACGCGGCGGTGGAGCTGCTGGTCGAGGCTCGGTCGGCGTGCGCGGGGGTGGCGCATCGGGCGCCCGCGCCGCGGGCGCCGTGGACGACGTCGGCTTCGAAGATGCGGTTCTCGGGGTCGACGCCCGCGGCTGGGAGATCATCGGGTCGCAGACGGACCAGAGAGCCGACGGCGGAGGGCGTGGCCGCGCCGATGGGCCCGCCTCTCGGGGCCGAGACGCCCGTGTCGCCGACGGTTCGAGCGGGCGCGCCGCCGGCGCCGAGGGAAGGCGGCGGTCGAGGGCGGGATGGGCCAGAGGCGCAGGCCGAGATCTTGGGCACCCGCGACTGCCGTGGCACTTCCGCCCCCGAGGCGCCTGCGCGCGGGCGAGTCAAAGCCGCGCGGGCCATTGCCGATCAGTTTTGCGACGCCTCCGCAGGGCTGCGCCCGAGGCCCGCGACGGCGCGGTTTGAGGGTCAGGCGGCGTCGTCTTTCAGGGGGCTGGGCCAGATGGCGCGGGCAGCGGGGGGCAAGTTGCCGACGTCGAGCTACCCGGCGCTTTTGACGGCCCCGCGTGGGCTTCGCGACAAAATGGGTGGGCAAGATGTATTATTCAGGTATGGGTGGCGCGATCTTCGTCTATGGCGGTTGCAAGTGGCGACCGGGTTATTGGAGCGCCATTTCCGACCGCGATGCGACGGCGGCGGTGGCCGTGATTGACCAACCGTGGCCAGGGGTCGTCGGCGAGGACCTTTGTGGCAGGTCGAGGGCCCGACCCTGGCCGCAGAGCAATGCGTCGAGCTGACGAGCAACCGCGCCAACCGCCAGGCGACGACGGGCGAGCTCCCAGACAGCAAGAAGCACCTGGTGGCGAACTGCAGTGTGGACGTGGCGGCTGCGGCGCGGCGACTGAGGCGGAGGCCGCGGCCGGCGGCGGACCTGTCGACGGGCTGCCATCCGATTGGCGTGGGCGCCCAGCGCGAGGTGTGGCAGCGCTTCGGGGTTGAGGGGCCGGAGGTTCTGATCATGGGCCCGCAATGCACGGGGTGGGGATATCTGCAATGCCGCAACGACAGCATGAGGCCGTCCACGGACACCGCGACGGAGTGCGAGCGGGCTGAGGGGCGCCCGCGCATCTGCCGCGACGCGTGCATGCATGAGTGGAGGCATGCTCGTGATTTCTTGCGCGAGCAGCCTTGGGTCGCAAAGTCGTGGCGTGAGGGCCCGCTTCAGGCCATGGAGGACTTGGGGGCGTGGAGTTCGTGCGAGCTGGCATTTGCGCGCGCGGGGTGTCGGTGGCGGGCGACGGGGCGTTCGACCTGGGGCCCGCCAGCCTGCTCGCCAACGTTTCCGAGGTGGTGCAGATCATGCAGGCGTGTCGGTGCAGCGGCAAGCGCAGACACCGCGAGTTGATCGGCTGGAAGGCCAGGTGCGCGCAGGGGAACCCAGACAGGTTCTGCCATGCCACCGTCGTGGGGCTGAAGTGCCATCCAGGGCTGCGAGACGCTGTCGCTCTGGTGAGGGCCGTCTACGCCGTGGAGGAGTCTAAGGGGCCCCCCAAGGCGATGAACCTGGGCGCGCAGATCGGCGACCGCATCGGGGCGACCTCAAGCCGCTGGAGGGATTCGTGACGGAGAACCTGGGCCACCCCGAATCGGCGACGCAGGAGCGCGACCCTTCGGGGGCGGCCGCCCTGGGTCGGGCGAGAGCCGGCCATCAGCGAGGACGCTGTCGCGCTTGACCTCGATGGGGTGAGCGATTGCGCGGTCGCCAAGGGGCGCGCGCCTCAGGAGCAGCGAGGGATTTTTCCGGGTCCATCGGGCGCTAGGGCCCCCGTCGAATGATGACGTGGCGAGGACGCCGCGGCGCGCGGGGCCTAGGGGGCACCTCGTCTTCGGGACATGGCATCATCTGCGGTGTGCAGTGTGCCTGGGCAAGCAGATGCCCCTGCCTGCGCGGCCGTCCACGCCGCCGTAGTGCCTCGCACGTGACCGCTTAATCGGCGTGGACCTGGTGTTCGCGCCGTTCGGCAACCTCGCGATGATGCGTTTTAGCCGGGTGTGCTGGGGGGCTGGTTTCTAGATAGTCACCAGGATTGGCAGCAGCACCGCGGAGGAGGTCGCGGCCGAATTCGCGAAGGATTGTGCCGTGCTCGACGGATGGCCCTTACTCGATCATGGATCGGGGGCCCGAGTTCGCGGGCTCTGCGTTCCAGACCATGCTGGGCGAGCGCGGCGTCATCTGGCGCGTCGTCGACGCGCGGGGTCCACGCCGAATGGTCGCATCGAACGGGCCTGTCAGGAAGTCGAGCAGATCTTCGAACAAGTTATTGAGGACCAGGGCATCTTCGCCACAGGAATGCGATATGGCGCTGGCCGCCCTAGTGGGGGCCCGCGACCGATGCGTCAGTCGGTCCGGGTTCAGCGCGCGCCGGCGGTTGTTAGGCGGCCCCCAGAGGCTGCCGGGATCGCCCATGAGTGAGCGACGACCCAATCGAACGGATGCTGATCGCGACTGGCCCCCTCCACCGCGCTCGCGCGGAGCAGCGAGGTGCGCGTGGCGGCCCGGCGAGCGCAGTTCGAGCTTGGCGAGATATAGGCGCTGGCCTCGGCCGCGAGGGCGCGGCCGCGCGGCCCGGCCCAAGGCAAACCGCTGCAAAGGCGATGTGCTCTACGTGTGGCGCGCCATCAAGTCATGCCAAGATCAGCGGCTGTGTCGGGGTCTCCCCGGCGAGCCCGAGGGCGAGCGGGTGCTGGCGCCCGTGACCGAGGCCGCGGAGGAAGCTCGAGGTGGGGTGCCACGCGGCGGGCTCGGCACCGCCATCGGCGACCTGCCGCCCATTCTCGAGGGCGCCGAGCCGGTGGCTGCAGCGGGGGGGGATTCTCGCTCCGCCATCTGACGGAGGTGCCGTCGCGCAGATGGAGCTGGCGCCGTTGCTGGCGTCGGGGAGGGCGGCTTCATTAGGCGGGAATCACCCTCCAGTCGGGGGCGTCTAGACGCATTGTTGAGGCGGCCTCGGCAGCGGCCGCCGCGCCGACGCCGGGCGCGGCTGCCTCTTCGGCGGGGGCGCCCGCGACGCGGGGGGCCGCGCCCGTGCAGGCAGGCGGTTGGTCGAGGCAGTCGTCGAGACAGTCTGCGGCGGCTCGTTCGGCCCCTACTACCTGGGCGCGGACTTCGAGGCGACGTGCGAGGGGATCGCGCACTCTACGCGGTGGTCCTCGAGCGAGTCCGAGCGCGCAGTAGATGCCCGAGGGCCCCGCGCTCCCTGCCGGGCTGCGGGGCGTGCAG